TCCTGCTATGGGTCAGCACCTGGCAGTGAAGTACTTTGTCTCTTACTGAGCTTCATTTAGCAGTTTTGAAGGATAACACTGATCTGTGCAACTTCCAAACCTTTTGAGTGCCATGTGTTGTTGGACTGTGGGGGTTGCTGAAGAGATATCTCCCATCTGGCCATTCATAGTCTGTACTGAATGTCCTATATCATTTGTTTTGTTTGTGTTTTCTTTCTGGATGATGGGAATGGGGAGCAGCCCCATCCCAAATGCTGCCATATCCAGTCCTAAAGTAGTCATATTTCATTCATGAGCATTCACTATGAAGGCATTACTAATTAGCTGGCAAGATGAGAAAAACAGAATTATTTGAGTGATTAGTCAACTGTATTCCTTTAAGGTGCTTTTTAATATAGTATAATGGATGGCCTCCAAGTAGTGCGGGGTGTTAACTTGTGGGTGGTAGAGCAAACCTGGCATAAGAAAAGCTTGGTAGATGGGAGGTTGCAGCCCTTGACATGCCATCCTTTGATCTCTTTTCTGAGAGTGTGGGAAAACAACCACAGTAACATACACTGTCCAGTAAAAGTCAATGTATGAGACAGGCCAAGGAGAGGACTGTGGCATGGTGCCATTAGAGGTCACAACAACCTACTGCTGTTGCAGCAGACTTGGGGAAATAGCATTCCTGTTGGAGAGGGAGCCTGCTGCCAAGGTGTCAAAAGAAATCCTTCAGATGAAGAAAACTGCTAACAAAATAGTGTTTTTCTTTAAAAGTAAGTTGCTTTTACCCTACAAATTGTCTCTTTCCTTACTCCACTACAAAATATGGTTTTCTGCAAGTAATCACAGTTCCCAGCTTGTAATGGTTGGCAGGGGCTGTCAGTAATGCCATGTCAAAAACTTCTCCAAATCTAAAAGTAAGCATCAGAGTTTTCTGTTTATCATCTTTGTTCATCTGCCTTTTGTGTCTCACCAGCTTGTTGTCAGGTTCAAAGCTGCTTGGCACATGGGCTGCCTCGAGCTTGTGTGTTCGTCCCACAACCTCATCCTATAGTTTCTGTAGAGGGATATAATATATAAGAACAGAACCCTTTATTTGAAAGGGACTCCCCTAACTGTGCTGATGGCAATAAGTAGTGTCTATCAGGAAAACTATTTAAGTTCACTGAAAACAATCACTGGATGTCAGTCTTAATGTTACCGCGTAATTTTTAATCTTTGGTAAAGAAATGAGACTTATTTATTCCTTTTACCTGGTTGTTTCCTAAGAACTTTTGAACTAGTTGACTGATACATTTAAGGGACGGATATGATAGATATTTACAATCTCCGGAGGAAAGTGGAAGGGGACTCATTGTTCACTCGCAATCTTTTCCAGTATAAATGAAGCTCAGACGAGCCATTTTCAAAATCAGGAAAGGGAAGCAGTTGAAAGTCCACATGGATCCAGGAGGATTCTGAGCTCGTGGAATAGAAATCACTGAAGGTTGCCAGATACATAGAAGCTATACCTAACACATGAAATCCCTGATTTGAAAATAATTAAATGGTGGAAGAGAATTTCAGGGAAATATTACATGTTTGCTTTGTTCTTATGCTCCTCTTAGGCGTCTGGTTATGGCTACAGTTAGAGTCAGGATTTGGAGACAGATGGACTTTTTGTCGGACCCAGTACAAGCCATTGTTACTGGTGTGTTTGTAAATCCAAACTAGCCAAAGCATTGCTGCTTCTTGGCCCTGGATGGGTCATGGTAAAGGAGTTTGGACCTTTATGGGGGAGAGAGGTGGAAGAATTAGGGACAAAGGACAAAATCTAGAAGGAAGCAGACTCAAAAATTTCCATAGTCAATAGAATTATTTATGTGTAATCATTGTGCTTCTGCAGTCTAATACATTTAATTTGTGTGTGTTTCCATGCTTGCATAACTTAAGCCATCAGATTGCTACAGTGTTCACTGGGTATCAGTGTAGGTTGTGGTTCCGTGGGCATTTCTTTGAGCGATTATGATGGTTTCATTGGATTCTGCCATGAAGAAAGCCAGACTGAGGAGAACCTAAACTAAAAGTAACCCAGGAAAATAAAAAAGCATCATTTTTAACCTGGTTCTGTTCCTGCATCCAGTTCACTGCTCAGCTGCATAAAAGCTACTCTGAAAGCAAGCACTGACAGTGATACCAGCTTTTTCATGTCTGAAGCGTTTGTGAAACTGCAGTTTCAGGGAAGTGGGTAAGAAACCACTGCCTTAAACTGTACTGTGTTTGTTCCCTGTCACTCTCTCTGTGCACGGCATTTATACACTGCATCAGAATTTAACATATAACATGTCTTTACAGCCAGTGTGTGAATATAATTGTCCGGAGAAGGTAGGAATATGCAAGATAGAGTGTTTATTCCTAATGTGAACTTTATTTCAGTTTCTCCAAGTAACTGCTTCAGATGCTTTACATCACTTTGTTTTTCATTTCCATTAGAAGTGAGGACTTGTTCCTAATGTCTGCTTCCTTTCTCCCCAGATAATCTGATCAAAGCCATCCTGTCAGCAACCAAAGATTACCGTCTAACTCCAGCTCTTGACAGGTAAGATAAGACCTTTTAGAGTAGAAGGAGTAGAAGTGATTGTTTTCCACATGTTCTAGATAAATCTTGCTAGATATTTTTGCCAGAAATAATTGCCAATAAATTTGTCTGTGCTTTGGAGGTAGGTCAGAAGCTGGAAATTGAGTCCTCTTTCCAGTAAATCAGTAAACTCTGGAGACCTCTGTTAAGTCAAGCATGATTGGGAAAAAGCGTTTACCTTTTGACTATTTCCTAATCTTTTGTTTCATATGGTGTCACAAGACACTTTCTTGCCCCTTTTTCAAATAAGTAAATAGCAGATTTTCAATAAATACATTATTCTTTTTCAGCCTTTCTGGCAAAGCAACAGGATTACAAGAAACTCTTAGAGGGAAAGAAGGGACTGGCTTGTTTTAACAGTGTTTCACTAATACCTCACTCTTAAAGCAAGAATGTGTGATGATGTTGGCCAAGCCTGTGCCAGGATGCGATGGCAGTCTCCTGGGTCCTGTGGTATTTGAATTGATGCCTTTAGAAGAAGCACCTTTGATTCTTCAGTCCTATTGTAGAGGTTGCTTCTGAAACTCGCTGGCATGTTTACAATCAGCTTCTGTGGTGGGTTGACCCTGGCTGGACGCGAGGTGCCCCCCAAAGCTGCTCTATCACTCTCCTCCTCAGCTGGACTGGGGAGAGAGAATTTGTTGAAAGGCTCGTGGGTCGAGATCAGGACTCACCAGTTACTGTCATGGGCAAAACAGACTTGACTTGGGGAGTTTAATTTTTAAATGTAATTAAATTAACTAATTAAATTAGTTTAATTTATTACCCATCAAATCAGAGTAGAATAATGAGAAATAAAACCAAATCTTAAAAACACCTTCCCCTTCTCCCTCTCTTCTTGCTGGGTTTAACTTTACTCCCGAGTTCTCTCCCTCCTCCCCACCAACAGTGCAGGGGGACAGGGAATGGGGGCTGCGGTCAGTTTGTCCCACATTGTCTCTGCCGCTCCTTCCTCCTCAGAGGGAGGACTCCTCGCACTCTTCCTCAGCTCCAGTGTGGGGTCCCTCCCATGGGAGACGGTCCTCCACCAACTTCTCCATGGGCTTTAGTTCTTCAGAAACTGGGGGGAAACCCCAGGCTGGGTCCCTTCCACTGGGTGCCATCCTTCAGGAACAGACTGCTCCAGCCTGGGTCCCCCACAGAGTCTCATGTCCTGCCAGGAACCTGCTCCAGCACAGGCCTCCAACGGGGTCACAGACTCCTTCAGGCACCCTCCTGCTCCGGCGTGGGGTCCTCCCCAGGCTGCAGGTAGAGATCTGCTCCCCCTGTGGAGCTCCATGGGCTGCAGGGGCACAGCCAGCCTCACCGTGGGCTTCCCCACGGGCTGCCGGGGAACCTCTGCTCCGGCACCTGGAGCACCTCCTGCCTCTCCTCCTTCCCTGGCCTGGCTGGCTGCAGAGCTGTTCCTCTCACATATTCTCACTCCTCTCTCCAGCTGCTGTTCCACAGCAGTTGTCTTCCCCGTCTTAACTCTGTTATCCCAGAGGCACTGCCACCATCGCCGATGGGCTCGGCCTTGGCCGGCGGCAGGTCTGTCTTGGAGCCGTCTGGCATTGGCTCTGTCGGACACAGGGGAACTTTCTAGCAACTTCTCACAGAAGCCACCCCTGTAGCCTTCCCACTACCAAAACCTTGCCATGCAAACCCAATACAGGTTCGCAGTGGTAGTCCTTTCGTTTTTCCTATCTTTGCTTTTCTGTCATTTCTTCCCTTTGCCCTGGAGTTTTGGTTTTTGGTCACCTCCCAGATCAGAGCTAGTTTCTTTCAGAAGCTGCTAGATGTTTTTTACTGGCACATGATCTCTTTTCAAAGTTTTGGTACTATTTCTTCCTTGAACGCAGGCTAACAACATAGTTCCTGCTTTCTAAACACATTGGTTTTATTTCCTGGCCCACCTTCCTTTCTGCCCACTTTTCCATGACAAAGTTCATGAGCTTTTACAGCCCTTCTGTACTTCTCTGCATCTCTCACATTGATTGTAGAGCTTGCTCGCTATAGTTAGAGTTGGGCGTTACTCTCTGTGTGAAAGTTTATTATTAGTTTTTTGCAGTCTGTGTGCTAATCTAGGTTGCTTTAAAGTTTGCCTTGCCTCACAGCAATGCCAGATACGGTTAGCCTTCAGAGTTTGGATTAATTTGAGAAATGATGTCTAGAAGGCAAAATAATTTTACAAATGACCTTCTTAGAGATTTTGCACACAATTGAGTCTCACCCATGTGGGGTTTATCTCAGCTCTGGTTGGAGAGTTAAGATTTTAATCTGTTGAAAAATCCACATACAGACTCTTTCAGAAGGTTGCTCATGGGAAATTAGTGTTAATGACAGAGGGCAGGTGGAAGATTCTTGCAGTGAGGGTTAATGTAATTGTGACCCTTGCCGCTAACCTGTTTTCTGAGGAGTGGAATGTTTTGGGTTTTTTAAAAGTAATTTCGCAGGAGGTTGTGAAACATAACCACTCTAGCATGAGCTGCTAACTTTGATTTTACATTCTTTATAATGGTCTTGGTGCAGAGACAAGAAAGACCTAATACTCAAGCCTTCATGGAACGTATGCAAAGTCCCTGAGGTATCAAATATGAACAAGACCCAAGGAGCAAGCTAGAAATGTATTTCTGTAATATTGCAGTGACAAGATTTGGTGGTGCATATGCTTGTAAACACACAGGTATCTTGGGGAAGTACTGTTCTCTTGGGAATTTTTGTGATAAATGCAAGGCTGTGGATGTTAGTTGTGTAGTCCGTATGCCTCAGTCAAATACCTCCCAGAGCCCTTCCAAGTGAGCAGGTCTTAGGAAAGATAAAAACTGAAGCTGATGTTGGAGGAAGACAAGAAAGTCTTGGGATAGCAAACTGCAAAGTGAGAGCCTAAAGCAGGAGGTGGATGGAGTTGCCACAGAGGGGTTATTAAGAGAGAGAGCTTGCGTATTGTGGGAGGTGTTAAGGCTACCACAGTGCTGCTCTTGGAAACTGGCTTGGTGAGTAGGGCATAGACGAAGACTTGGGTATGCCTCCAGAAATGTTCTTCAGCCATGATCGTCAATGAATTACAGTGCTGGCAGCAATGGGTATCTGCCATTTTGGATTCCAGAAGAGCTGATGGAGCAGACTCACGAGGGAAGGTTAGATACTTTCTCATCTTTTCTCAAGCTCCAGAGTCCTCTCTGTGGCAGCTCCAGTGTGCTGGGAGAAGGGCCCTGAGGTTCTGCTCCCTCCCTTATGGCTCACTGGTCAGGAAGAAAGTCCAGACCCTCCGCCTTTGCTCACCTCCTTGTAGCAACTGGAGAGGGCCTGACTCAAGGGCTGAAAAAATGCCTTATTGTGAAAGAGTTAGGTAAGAGATGCAGCTAGAGTCTGTAATGTATAAGGGGTCAGACTAGGAAATCTTGTGAACCCTTCCACTTGTATCCTTTCTGAAGTCTAGTAGGCTGATTCCAGCAGCAGGGGAAAAGCTCCAGGTTCACCTGCTCTTTAGGATGGAGTTACCCAACATTTAAGTTTAAGAAGCTGTCTTTGCTGCTGGTGCCTGCTCTTGGGCTGTAGCTCTCTACCTTCTTCTTGTGCTGTTGCTATTTGAAGAGGAACTTTAAAGTGGGTCACTGAAATGATTGCAGTTCATAAGTTTTTTTTTTTTCCTCTTAACCCAGGTCATTCTAGTGACCTCACTTACAGAAGTCCTCTCCCACTGAAGAATTGCATTGACACAGCGCTGCAATGGCAGGACAAGGGGCAGAGTGCTTGGGGATGGGTGGGGAGGGTGAGTGCTGCTGAGCCTATTGAAGCAAGTGTTCATGTAACCACACGCTGAATGCAGCTTTCCCAGGTGAAGGGTGGAACAGGCAGGGGAGGTGAGATCAGAGCAGTGCGTGAGAGCATAGGAAGGAAAGAGGGGATTAGATTTGTATGGTGGGGGAACTACACCAAACCTTTGGTCTTGTCCCCACCCAAGTTTCTACTTTTCTGTCCTCCCTCACAAAGCTGTCCCTGGAGATGTTACCTTCCCTTGGCTCCCATAAGCCCTGGAAGTGAACTTGTTTGTTTGATTATCCCTGTGCCAAAAGGGCATCCTGATGCACCTTTCAATGTATTGACATGCTGCTGAAATGAGGCAAACTCGATCCTTCCGGGTATGCATACACCTTTCATCATTCCAAGCAGCTCTGCCAACTCACTCCAGCTAATCCCTCCATTGTGAGTAGAGTTGTGTTAATAACTAGCAGCAGCTGGAGGCCATGTGGACGATGCTATGGTTCATGCCTGTAACATAGTGTAAGTGATGCTGTGCTTTCTTAGTTTTTTTCATGACTCCTTATTATGGCACCTTTGTGTTGAATACAAAGTTCAACGGTTATAGTAACCTGCTTCTGCTCCAGGGCAGGAGGTAGGTAAACCTGCAGTTGTGTTTGTGAGGGTAGTTGCAACTTAGCTCTGAGCTTTTCTGGAGAAGGCTGGAGATCCAGGGGACTTTAGAATTACTGTCCTCTTCCTTCAGTGTTGCCATGTCTTTCTCCCTAACGCAGATGTTGGTTGGCCGTGTCTTTGACACTTCAGAGTTCTCTTGCCCTCTATTGGCTTTTCCAGGCCCAACATCCCCAGCATTTTTACTGCTTGTTTTAGTGGCTCCTCTGGTGACCTGCCCCTCATTCTGCAAATTGATCAGGGCTTGGTTTCTAGTTCCATGGCTCTTCTGCTGACTGGACTTCAGTGGATTTTCGGGTTAAATCTCTGCAGTGATGGCCTGTGAATTTCTGATGAAAAGGTATAAATACAAAAGCCTGCCTGACCCTTTTATATTGCCTCCAGGTAGAAATGAAGAAAAACTGAGAGTGAGTTTATAACCAAGAGGAGTCCTTATAAATGTTATAAATGTAGTATATAACTAACAAGTGAGGAAGTAACTTGATAGAGCAGGAGGAGAGATGTGTGTGTCCTTCTGGCTCAGGCTGATAGCACTAGTTTAAGTAGCGGCAGCCAGATCAAACCAGAATATGTTAAACCTCCCTAAGCACCAGTTACCCTAAAGATGTGATTTTTAATTATTCTCTTATAACTTTCCTCAAAGCCTTTAGTTCCAAAGTTGCGTAAAGGAAGGCTTTGTGGTTTTTCTCCCCTGACAAATCCCTAAAGCGCTTTGATAAGAGAGGAAGTGGAGGTAGCAATTGCTACAACGCATACATGTGTTTACAGTGCTATATTGTTCAAGAAAATCTGTGAATCCTGGTTTTGGTGTAGAGACACTCATCCTCTCAGCATCTGTGTCAGAGGCTGTACATCTGGCTGCAGCTCCCAGCTTAGGGCTTTAGGGAAAGTCTTTCTGGTGTGGAAAGTCCATGACCCTCCTTCATACCACCCTGGTAGCAAATGAACCTGGGTTGTGTCTGATGTGTTCAGTCCTTGAGCTCTTCTGGAAAAGAAATACAGCTTTGACATACTATGTAAACAAACAAAAAGATATTTGCACATCTCTTTGTGGAGAAACAATTGAGCTGTAACTGATGCTGCTTGCACAGCCTGTTTCTTCAGCCAGAAACTTGCCTGGAGCCAGCAGTGACTTTGCAGGTTTCCCATGCTCCATGGGCCACTGTCAGTCAATACTGGCTGTGAAGGAACCCAGCTACTCTGGTGTCAAGTGTCCAAACTTCTGGTTGGGATGTGAGGTCAGGTGCCTGATGTTCCTGATGAATGCTTCCCTTTCACAGTGCCACCAGGGTGGCCCTGCAGTCTTCTCACTGTCCCACAGTGTAACTGCCAAAGCTGGTGAGACCAAGCTAGCTCGCCTTTCTGCCTCTCTCAATCAAAATAGTCTGGGCTGCTCAGACTTGATGTACACACCTGATGTGCAGAAGACTCACTATATCTTCATCATGTGCACCTGAAGAAAGCAATCGGCACCTGAGTACCACCTTCTGAGCGTGCAACAGAAACTTGCAGCTTTGCAATGAGAGTGGGCAGAGAACTTTTGAAGGAAATTTAAGAAAAAGTTGTTAGTAGATCAAAAATTAGACCTTAGCGTCAAAAAGATACTAATGAAAAGCCATTATTTGTGGACTTCAGGAAAAAAAGAGGATCCAGTTAAATATGTCAAGACCAACCAGAGTTCAAAAGTGGTTCGGACATGAAGCTGGGCAGAGATGATTAACCTATCAGTTATGATGAGTAAAGGTAGAACCATTCAGTTAAGTATTTGTTTCATTTATTTGAGTAAAGATAGAATGATGTCCCATTTTACAGCAACGATGATATACTTTCTGTATTTTTATTAGTAACTGTGAGGAAGTTATATGACAATTATATGTCTTCTTATATCAGTAAGCACTGAACAGTGTTTAAAGAATTAAATAGTTCTCTTTGCTATTACTGTTTGCTTTTTAACCCTTCTTGGGATGTTGGATAGAATAGCAAATGTTGTGCCTTTCCTGGAGAAGTACGGGAGATGACAAAATGGTGGCTGTAAGTTGATTAGCTTGGTTTTGCAGGAATTATCCTGGAAAGTTAGATCTGGAACAGAGCTAGAGTGGCACCAGAATTGGTGTCAGTTATCTTGGATTTTGTGGAAATGAAATCTTGTCATGTAGATGAAGATGGTTTGTTTTTTTTTTTCTTTTAAATGAACTAGAAGCTTGATGGATAAAAGTAACCTTTTTAAGATAGACACTAGTTCTTTGCCTCAGTCCGTTATATTCTGCTTCTGCACATCTCCATTGTAGACATATCCTTTTAGGGATGGGATATGTCACACAGCTTTAAAAGGTTACTGTCATGGTTGAGAATTAATCCTTAGTAACACTTCTAGTGTAATCCTGCTGGCAGGTGTTCACAGTGGTTAACACTGATCTGTAGGAAATGTAAAATTATACTAGGAAAAATTTGCTGGAGCCAAAGACTGGGGAAGAGCAGGAGCACTGGGTCAGTCTAGACCTTTTCATAGGGCCCTTTTCTGAGCATTCTTTACTGGAGCCAAATCAAAAGTCAGGCATCTCAGAGGTGACAACAGATCTTGCTTACAAGATGAGGGTTATGTTCTGCAAACCAGTGATTATCACAAGAGCATTGGAATGGTGTACATACAATCTCTGTGTAAAAGGGACCCTGCTTTGAGCAGCGTTAGCTCCGCATGCTGGTCTTCCAGAGTCAGTGCTTCAGAGGTTTGGGGAGAAGTTGACAATGGTTCAGAGAAGTACTGCAAATATGACTCAACATCTAGGAGAGCTGCCATACAGTAAGAGATGTGATGAGCTCGCTCTGGTTTCTATGGGCAAGAGAAAATTAAGTACAAGCTTTGATCAGTCTACAAGTACTGTGTGGGAACAGGGCCATGAAGAGAGGCTGCTGGAACAGCTTTGGCTGGTGGAACTGGTTCTTTTATCTCATGTGTAGTGGCTTATGCTCACCAGTCTGACCCGTGACTGGTTATCCACCTAGAGGCAGATGTTTACACACACTGGTTTGTCAGTAAGTGGATCACATGCAGATGTGGAAGGGACTGCTGACAGTAGATGGTGCTTTAATTTAGCAGAAAAGGGAAGAATGTGATTAAGTGGTTTTGAGGCTGAAACCAACACAACTACTCAAAACTGGTAAGAGCTAATGTCCGAACAGTAAGTGGGAAAGGGATAGAGAAGAGTGTCTATAACTTGTAGCCTTTGGATTTCAGCATGGTATTCTTCAAGAAATAAGAAAAGTCATGGCTCGAAGTCAATTGAGTAGAGAAATTACAGGATTTCACCTGTCAGTCTGTTGTTTAGGAGGCAAACAGACAAACTTTCTTGTCATAATCATCAAAAGAGGGTATTTTCATCTGAAACTTCTCATGGCCAGAATTGAACTATGTCTTTCTTTTTTCCTCCTGCAGCACCTTTTCCTTAAGGTTTTGACAAAGCTTGTTACCGTCTTTGTCACTGGGTTTGGGGTATTTGGGGCTGACCCCTTCCCTCCTTGTCACAATATACTGCCTGAACCAGGTCTTGCCTCTACTTTCTCCTTGTCACCAGAACGGTATTTGTTTTCTGTGCCATTGTCTATAAAGCTCTTTCTGTATTGCCTGTTTTGATTATCACAAGCATCCACAGTTCTTTGTCCCTTAGGGACACAAGCACTGGGCTAATATGTCTATCTTCTTGAGGGGGATTTTTCTTTTGGAAAGGCCGGGATCTGCGGCGCAATTGATCTGGGCTGGGGAAGCAGTTCCTGAGCATTTCTTGGTGCTGTTAATTCTGTGCGTATTTCCAGCTAATGGCTCTGTCAGCGGGGTAACTCTCAGTGATTTAGCTGAGTCTTTAAATGCGCTCCAGCCCTACTCTGCAAAGACAAAGCCCACATAAGCAGAGCTTTCCTTGTACTGGCTCTTCAGACAGATCACAGCAAGGACAGCCTAGAAGAGACCGGTTGGCTGTGCCTGGGACTAGGAAGGCCGCCTAGCCCAGAGATCTGCTCCAAACAACTGATTGCCTTGGACCCTTTCCGAAAAAGGCTCTGCAGACACGTATTCTTTCAGTGAACTACCAGAGATGGAGGCACACTGCCAGAAGAGCCAGCTGCTTTTGGGATTAGATGGCTGGAAAGAAGTCCTCTCTCAGTCTTCAAAACGAAATCACTTTTTAACATCTGTTGCAGAGAGTTCTCGTGACTCACGGTTCCACAAGAAACCATTCTCTTCCTTCTCTTTCCTGTTTCTTTGTTAATTAAGGTTATTTCCTTCCCCTTCCTCACCCATCGTGTCTCCATATATGTTTCCTACTGGACAGGAGTGGGGGTGGAGTCCTTTTTCTATCCATTTAGTGTTTTTCCCCTCTCTTGAAGTCTACTGATAACTGCAGCAATTTCGCACTCAGCAAGGTGAGCGCACCCCAGATAACCTGGCAAGATCTGCTTGCACTCAGAAAATTGCTTGGAGAGAGGACTTCCTCACTAAGCCTTTGGTTTATTGTTATTTCACTGCTAAATGAATAATGAGAAGGTTTAAGTAAACAGATGGGTTTGATTCAAGCCCATCATACCAGGGGTGTAGGGGAAGAGGAGCTGCTTGCCCCGACAGCTCATCTCATTAGGACACACATGGTGTGAGGTGTTGAAAGCAGTTTATCATGTGTAATACCTGGGCATGATGGGGTGAGTTGGGGATCAAGCGTATCTCTGTCCTCCCCTTAATTCTTAATATTCCAAAGGGTTTCCTGTAGTGCTGAGATAGGTGCAAACTAAATATGTGCAGCTTAGTGTGTTTGAAGTTACGTTACAAAAATCACCCCTCTTCTGTTTCTTCCACAGTCTCAGCTGCCGGCGATGTATTATTGTGGGAAATGGTGGAGTACTTGCAAATAAGTCGTTGGGGTTAAAAATAGATGACTATGACGTTGTTGTCAGGTGAGTCTTTGGCATCACAGTTTTCTTGTCACACATTCGGTTTCTGTATCAGTTCACATGTTATGTAGGCAAAGGGTAAACCTACACTAGTGACAACATCCATTTGTAGGGAAGCATTAACCAATATGGAGGGGGAAAAAAACGCAAGAGCATACAAATGTTTGTTAGAAATGGTGATCACATCAAAGGGTAAAGGCACTCCTCAAGTGTTCCATTTTTCACAGCTGTTTTGGAATGTGCTCTCTCTTATGATCCCACTTGAACCTTCTCTTCATAGCTCCCTTCTAAAAGCTGCTTCTTTTGTGATGCCCTTAGGTGGTGAAGCAGTAAAACGTACCATTAGATCTGCTCCCAGATGCAGCCTGTAGGTAGCTCAGGGAAGTAGTATTGGTCATACATGGGTAGCATTCCCCAGAACCCACACTTCACAGTTAAGATGGGAAGAACTAAGAACGATGCAGCACTGGGTCTTAGGAAGCAGTTAATCTCCGTGGGTGAGGGGCATGCTAGAAGCTGTGAATACTTTGCTTCTGTTTCACTGCGGATGATGATGGTGAATAAGGGAGCAGAAGCAGAGTGGCATAGGAGTGGAAACAACCACAGTCAAAGTTAGGGCTTCTTGCTTTCGCTGAGGACCTGGATCATCGCCATCTCAGAATGCTTGAAAAACGTGCTGATATGTGAAATCACAGGTCTAGTCATAACTCTTAGTAATAAATCTGTCAAGCCAGGGAGGTGTTCTGGGTGACTGGAGATTAACAAACATATACCTGTACTAATGGAGAGTGAGAGAAGAGTGTGTGTGTAGGAGGGAGGGGGGACATGCTCTAGGGAGCTACAGACCCATTAGTCTGACTTGAAAAAATGCAGAGCTTTTTAGCAGGTTCTGAATCACAAGTAACAAAATACTACAAAGGTAAATAGGAAAAGTGGGATAAACCACAGTGTAAGTTTATAAAAACTGGCTTAATGTAGTCTTAAGTTGGTATTTTTTTTCCTTAGTAAGATAACTGATTTAATATGAAAGGGAACGTAGCTGATATCATCTTTTCTGAACTTTAGTGAACCATGAGATGTGGTGGCAAATAGCAAATTCTTCTGAAGGTGGAAGAAAGAAAGGGATTAGTAAAAGAATTTAAGGCACAGCGAAAGTATCATTTAGCATGGTCTCATTTCTCTCCCGTGTGCTAGTAATGGGCACACCAAGAAAGAATAGGACATACACAGGGTAATAAATACCCTCTAACTCTGGACAAAAAGACCAAGAAGATCCCTTTCAGTCCTTTGTTCCTGTGAACGGTTCCCTGCTTCCCTGGCAGTGCCCTGGACACAGGAATGACTGTTCAGAACAAGATGAAACTTTTACAGCCCTTCTCCTAGTTCATCCCACTACCAGTTGTTAGCAAAGAGCTCTTACTACTCATCATAGTCTGGTGACTTGCAGTTATTTGAGCTGAATTAAAATTAAGTTATAGGCTTTTCTTGGGCTCAAACTGTTCAAAAAGTAGCAAGAGAACAGTTTCAATCCACCTGGACTAAGCCACCCACTAAGATTTACATCAGAAAGTCCACTATTTAATTTCCAAATGAAAAATTTCTCTCCACATCAGTAAATCTAAGTCAGTTTGCAAGCTGAGAGGATAAGAGGGCAGCTAAGCACCTGTGCTGTTTGTGGGATGAATAAAGGAGAGAAAAGTCAACTGTAAAGGTTAAATGAAGCCAGGTGCTTGGATGTGGGACTGAGGAGGTGAGAGCAGACTTCTTAAACTTATCCAACTGCTTCCTTTACTCCTGTGGGAGCTGGGGAAGTCCTTTGTGTTACAGCATCCTTTTTCATGGGTTGCAGAACTCCTTCGAAGGATCAGATTTGGGACCTAGGAGGTGTATTTTAAGGGGAAAAATGTGGTACGTTTGTGGACAAAGGGAGTGATCCAGCAGTATGTGGAGTTTTTTGATGCCTCGTGTTACCATGTGAGGATTGCTAATTGCAGCAAGAAATTTTGATCTTGTAGTGAAGAAAGTCAGATCAGCTTTGACAGTTCTAAAACAGCTTGGAGTGAGGTAGTTACTGTTTTTCTTTAACGGGATATTTTCAGATTTCAGTGCAGACTGTATACCTGGCAGGAGCTTCTTGCAGCAGTCAGTCAGTCATCAGCGCTCTGAAATGCTCTGAATCTATTCTAAGGATAGAATAGATTGCAGACAGGGGAAAATCAAGTGTGTATCAGAAGTTCCTGGTTAGAATGAGAGAGGGATTCACCTGATGATGATACGCTAATGATATTTGAGAGGGTCTTCGTGGTGCCACGCTTAGGGGTTAGCGTCTCTATGTTGTCAGCAGACACAGACAGAAAAACACTCCGAAACTATTTATGGAGAAAACTGTCTGTCCATGGGCAGTACGAGGAGGCCTGGCATCCTAACTGAGGCTTTGTAAGATTTAGCTGTGTTTATAACCACCAGCATGTGTCCTGCCCGAGAAGGGGTTCAAGCTGTGTAGTATGCACCTTTGTGAATGCAGGCTGTGGCCGCCAGAACTTTTCCTGCTCCATTGCCCGCGCTGACCGTGGGTCGGACAGTGCTGGCTTAGCCAGACCCCGTCACTATGACTCCGTCAGCAGCTCACACACTGGCCCTTTGCTGGAGACCTGCCTTCATTTCTCTTGGGGAAATGGTTTGTTTTGTTTCCTGTCTAGGTACAAAGTAGGGGTCCCAAGTTCTGGGAGCTTTAACAAGGTAAACAGCAAATGCAGCAGCTGGGGAGGGGAAGACCCTGCCAAAGAGCTACACGTTGACATTTGAAAAGACTGCAGGCTTCCCCTCAACATCAAGAGAAGAGATGAAAATACGTGCAACTAGCTTTCTTTACATAGTACTTTCTTGTATTTGTCTCTGTTACCTTTAGAGCCACATGCTTTTACATTATGCAGCATCATCTACCCCAAAGAGAGACAGTGCCTTGAAGTTTAAATAATGCCCATAGCAAGAGTGAGTGATGTGTGAACGTGCCATCGGCAACAGAGGAAAAAGCAAGGGATAAGGCTGGCTGGGAGCACTGGTTTTGCAGGCAGTCAGGTCTAGATAACTCAAAGTCAGGGTATAAATTGAGGGTTTATAAAACCATGAGAAAAGGCTTCATCTCCTGTATAAATTGTGGTGGTGCTGATTCTTAAGTTGTTTTCCCTTTAATATTTTATTCCTAATGATAAAGTAGATATTTTTACTAAAAATACATAGGAATTTATTCTCCTTAATTCTGAATAGGATTTCAGATTGTATACAGGGATTTTCTTCTACTAAAAGGTTTCCCACCTAACATGCTTACCCGGGCTGAAAAAGACAAATCCAGATCCTCATTAACATTCCTACATGGCAAAATTTGCAGTCCATAAGCACTTTCCAGTATATTGAACTACCCCAAGTCAAGAAGGCTGCAATAATTCAAGCAGGCCATGCTATTCTATCAGGGGCTGCTGTTTGATATCAGCAAGACTGGTATTCCAAGTTACTTGAAATTTCCTCAGCTTTGGGTTTCTAGTTTTGAACAGAAGTTCCGAATATCTTCAACGTTATGAAAGACATCATTGCTGTTAAAGCCAGAGAAGTTTTTTTTTTTTGAAGGGGAAAAAACTTTGTCCCTGAGGGATGTTTTAACAAAAGCACAGTTAAACACATAGCATTCCCTTAGAAACCAGTGTGCCCAACAGCAAAGCTTGTGTGTCTGCTTGGGTGTTTTCAGTGAGATGCACTTCCACAGCAGAAATTCCTCCAAGCCAGTGACACTGCAGTGCTGCTGAGCCTTACCTCAGCTGAACAGCCCAACTTCTTCCTTTGCGCTGGCATTGCAGGGCAGCTCGCCTTCTGGATGGGCCAGTTTGGGCAATTAAACCAGGTGGAGATTGTTCCTTTGGTTTTTTTTTGAAAATTATTAGCTGGCTTAGTTCCCCAAACAATCTCACTGCAGGTAAGATGAGCAGTGTAAGCTCTGGACTGGGGTTGGAGCGTGAGACCCATTTCAGTTCACTTCAACTGCCGTGGAGCTGCATCCTCTATTTCAGCACAGTCTTGCAGGATCCAAGTAAGATATCCCAGGAGCAGTGGGATGTTAAAATAATAATGCTTAGTTTGTAACTAAATTTGCAAGGAAAATATTTTTCGGTTTCCTTTACCAGAGCTTCCAAACCAGTTTACATCACAAGAGTGGGTATGCAGAAATGGACTGCATTATATTCAATGAAATCACTTCAATAGCTTCTAATTAAACTGTTGTCACTTGGTATAAAGCTTCATAAATGTTTGTGATGAAGAGCTGCAAGAGTTAACGTTTGCTGCTGTAACAGCTGCATACAAGGAGCTCTTGCCCTGCAGTAATTGCTGTATCATCAACATGCAGGAGTGTAAGTGGGAATCCATGACAGTGTCTTCTCCGGTTGCCCTGCAGGCTGAACTCGGCTCCAGTGAAGGGCTTTGAAAAAGATGTGGGTGGCAAAACAACTCTCCGGATCACATACCCTGAAGGTGCAATCCAGAAAATGGAGCAGTATGAGAAGGATTCCCTGTTTGTTCTGGCGGGATTCAAATGGCAGGATTTCAAGTGGCTGAAATACATTGTTTACAAGGAGAAAGTGGTAAGAACGCTGTCAGCTGGCATTGTGAAGGTCGCCTAATTAGAAACAGTGGGCAGACATGATATCACAGTCATATTTGTCATGTTTTGGTCTGAAGAGAGTTCCTCTGTATGTCCTGCTGCATTTAAGTGAAGGCTTTTTTACCTCCATGGACTTCAGCTTTAATTAAATATGCTTTACAAATAGATCTCTCTGTAACCTGACCTTGCATCACTGATGAGGCTATCTATTCAAGATTATGTTAGTGTGTGCTATGAACAATGAACTTAATTTTTATTTATTTCAAAGAGTATATAAAAGGACCAACTTTTGCATGGATTTCATGGACTCTTAGGATTTAAGAGAAGAAGAAGGAAAAGAGTAATGGCAAGGGGAGGAAATGTGAGTTTGGGGATCAGGATGTGATGGTACAGCATGGGAGGAGGACACAGTAACAGCACAACTATTGAAAAGGCTACAATCCACAGACTTAATACGACCTCTTGAATAGCACAAGCCTATTTTCCTCTGTTATTGCTGTACATGCAATATTGCTATTCATGATTTGTCTTTGGCTGAAGTATCATCTGGAAGAACAGTATCAAGTCTAATTTAAAACCATTGAAATGGTGAATACACAACTTTCCCCATGTAAATATTTTGTCCCAGTCAGTTGCATTAATGCCCTTCTGAAGCACCATGGACCTGTTACTAGTCAGGGTTGTTGTCTGCAATTCACCCACCCTGAATGTAATCAGGTTGTGATCACTGGCTTCTCATTCAGTGGATGGCTCATCTTTATCTGTTTTTATGAAGTCCGGAATAAATGGCCTTTATTTGGGTATAGTTCTTGTTTTACAAATCTTGTATCTTGGCTTTCAAATGTTCTTTAATGATTTTTCAACAAATAACCAGACAAATGAATTAATGTTCAGAGGATGGGATGTTATATCATGCGTTTGGAGATGAAGAGAGGAGGTTGGCAGCTCACCATGTACAGAATGAAACAGTCTGGGAATATAATTGTATGCGTTTGTTACATAGATAGCCTTAAGGGCTCATACCTTGCTCTTGTCTCACAGTGGCACCAGCTTGCAATTATTTTCCTGGTACCAGACAGATGAAGTTACTTGTCAGCCTCTGGGCAAGCACAAGTGGGCTTTCGTAACATGAATAATTGAGTCGAAAGTAATTTTCTTTGGTTTGTGTCACGCTCTTGTTCTCCATTCTGGGTAAAGGAAAGCCCTGGCAGCGTCAGTGCCCTGCAACCTGAACGCGGTTGTAGGGACTTCTAGTGTTTAGCTTGAAGTTCAAGGATGGATTGGTTTGCTTCGAAACAAATGAATTTCCACCTGATGCTTGCAGTCATGCGGTCATCACTAGATTCTAATGTGGTATCCCCTGCTCCTGGGAAGACATAGCGAATAGTTTCTTAAAACTTGCTAGAAGACTGGGGAGAGCAATTGCAGTAATCCTAACTGAGTGCTTTAGTGCCCAGCTTGACAGACAGCAGAAAGAACATGCATTGCATGTTACTTCAGTGTTCTTCTGGTTGACTCCTTATCCTTAATTTCTTTGGAATAAACACTCCATTTTTTTTCAGTTCTTGTAGGTGATGTTTTCCAGATCTCTTAATTCCTGTTGCTCTTTTGAATGCCTGCAGTTGATTCATCTTTTTCTTAGAGAAGTGCCAAAAAATGTACAGAGTACAGGAGAGAGGAGTGAACAGCTACTTCACTAGCCTCACAGTTCCTGTTCTTTATACATTCACTGCTTTGCCTTTTCCACAGTGGTGTGGGACTGAAGGTGAGTGTCCAGTTCCTTGAGACTCCAGGTCTCAGAAAGAACTGAGGAGCAGCTACCTCCCCAGCTCTGCACCCTGTGCTTGTGCCGTTGGCTCTTCCTGGCAGAGCGCAGCACCATGCACTTGTCCCTACTGATACTTTCTTCCAGAGCACTTCTCCAGTTTGCCAAGTTCCTTTGGCAGAGCTTTCCAGCGTACCTGCCATTCTTTCCAGGTTCATGTCCTCTGCTATTTAATAAACATACTTTTTACTCCATTGCCTAGGTTGATAATGAAAACACTAAACAAAGTTGGTTCCTAGGCAGACCCCAAAGTAATAACAACTTTCCATTTTTGCGGTGGGCCCATGGAGAACTCCTCCTGGATAGCTTTTTTGGCCACTTCTGAACTTGTATCACAGTAGTATCATTAATAACATTTTTTGGCATGTTTGTGAGAGTGATATGTCAGAAGTCTTACTGAATTCCAGTTCATGTCTTGCTTGTCCCCTGTGATACTTTTTCCCTGTATAAAGAAATACATTTGTTTTTTCAGTGATGATTTGCTCTTGACAAATCCACCTGATTGCTACTCATCTTTGTTATTTTTTTCAGGTGCTTACAAATAATTAATCATGCTATTCTGAGAACTGAAATCATAATTCTCCAATAAATCTTCTCTGGAGGCCTTCAAAACCCGACTGGATGTGTTCCTGTGCAACCTGCCCTAGGTGATCCTGCCTGGGCAGGGGGGTTGGACCAGATGATCTTGAGAGGTTCCTTCCAACCCCTACCATTCTGTGATTCTGTGATAAATCAACTCTTTTCCCTTTTTTACCTTCCTAAGGCTAGGTACTACTTTTGTCCATTTTCCAGTCTTTTGACACCCTACCTGTTTTACAGAAGTTCCAAAAGGGAATCAGTGCTGGTTTTGAGGCTGCTGAGCCAGTTCATTGAATACTTTAGGATGCAGTCCAGGTGACTGGAAAACATCTGTCTTGTCTTCTCTAGTCTGATCTCTCTCTACTTGAGGCTGAGATCTTGCTGTCACTGGCTTTAGCTGCAAGCAGGTGGCTAGCACAGCTGTTTATTCTAGTGGAGACTGATGCAAAAAGTGCTGTGTCTTAAACTAGAAGTGACCCGATGGAGAACTAACAGTGCTATGGGAATAAGGCGTAGGCGTCTGTTTGTTCTGGTAGTGAGTGTTAGTATTTTTATCAGTGTGTGGTAAGTTCAAAATGACAAATGCCTGTCCAGTGCTCTCTGTGGAGAGTTTCTGTTTCTCTCTCAGCTGATTTTCCAGAGAAAAGGGAGTTTCTTCCTTTCCAGGATTCCTCTGGAGGCACTTGCTTGACCTAGGAGCTCTGTATGCCACACTTGCTTATTCCTTATCTGAGATTAGGCCCATCCCTCTCCAAGGCTTCATCCCTGCCACAAACCAGCGGTTACCGTCAGGAGTCTGGCCTCAGGATGGAGATAAGGGAAATGGAAGCATCCTGCTAAAGAACATGACTGCTGTGGAAGTGGGCACATTCCTCAAAAAAATGGGCCAAACTCCACCCTCTAATGTTTCCTTTGCCCCTGACTGTTGATGGCAACTGCTTGTGTCCATGGTAGTGCCACAGGTGGGATATGAGACTTTCTGAATCCCTTCAGACACCAGACCTGGAGCTGCTTGGACTTCTAGCTTCACTAGAGGTTCTGGTTCAGTTACTAAGAAGCCTTGCTTAGTCCTCTCTTGAGTAAGTGAAATCAAAGGAGTTTATCAGAGAAAGAGTAAATGAAAGGTGAATGGCTATTTATTGCTGGGGTCAGTGGTCAGATACGCTTATTCTCCCTGCAGCTGAGAGGGATTTGCTCTGTGTTATGTTAGTCTTTTGGCAGCACTTGCATAGTGAGGAAGGGATAAGTACTTTGTAGAGAGGAGAATTTTCAGGAGATGTTATAAGGAAGAAGAATCAGTGTGATGCAGAAACAGCAGCAGAATGGTGAGGCAGAGGATTTCATGTGGTACAGTCTTCCAGAGATCTGCATGATGCCTCTGTGTCATGGGAGACACTATATGCAGAAAGTGGAGCACTGGAACATTGACCAAAGAAAAAGTAAAAGCTCAGCTCCTTTTATTTCACACTAAACCAGAAATATCTAGAAGTGAATAAAAACTTGAGAGAAAAGATTAATCTAGAGAAAGGACAAGTTTGGATAAATATTCTTACTGCGTTAGCAGCAAAACAAAAGTAGTCTTCATCACAGAGTTCTGGGTGAGCTGGCACTCAAAATTGTGAGTCTGGTAGCAAGTTAGGGCAGTACTGTATCACTGGAGAGTATAGACCTGCCTGTAAGAAGGGGAAAGGCGAGTGAATCTGGGCAATTAAAACTCTGGTAATCTGATTTCAGTCATTTGACAAGCATTAGAATAAACCGAAGGAGAAAATGATTGCACTTGTTGCAGGTAAATGGGGAAAAAGGAGTGTGGGATGGAGAAAAGCGACGTGTTCATTTCAGCAGGGGGGAGGATTGCACCGTGGTGACCGAATATGTCAATGTGCCAGTGGAAGGAAGTGGGTTGGAGTCCCACAGCCTGCAGTCGCAGGAGCCCATGGCTGCTGCAGAAGGGTCGCAGATGTGAGTTGTTGGGGCGTCAGGGGTGACCGGTCTGGCAGTGCTGACTTGCAGTCATTGCTGCAGGAGCCTGCTGACACTTCCAGGCACCCCTCCTCGGATGAAACAGCTAGTGGATTACTCACGGACAGCCACGCAGAACAGTTGCACCCTGTCCTAGACTGTTCTTTTTGCCAAGAGACGTTACCCACACATGTTGTGGTCCACCCTGCTGCTTCCCGCTACTGTACCATCCGGCATCACCCCGGGTCTCTCAGTGACAGGAGCTCTTCCAGAATACCCAAAGTACCAGAGGAATTATAGGGAGGGGGGTTTTGGCCATATACTGCTCTTCACAATTCCGCTGGATGAGCATTAAAATAATGGTCAAAAGCTGAAAGTTTCTCTATTGCATTGAGGGTAAATTCGTCCTGAAACAGAGGAATTTACAAGCACCAGTTATGCAAAGCAGCCATCACAGCCTGGCACTGAGGCTGATTCCAGGGTGGTTCTTTGCCCGTCATTAGTGAATCAGAAGGAGCTCTCTTGCTTGCTAGTGCTCACTTCCCTGAACATCTGGCACATGGTGGTAAAGCAGCCAAGTGAGGGCAAAGGTTTCACTAGAAATTGGCAGCTCA